CGGAAGGGAGGAAGAGGTCACAGAGTACCTGACCCTCCTAGGTCACTAAGACCTAAATTCCGATCAGGAGATCAGGCAGTTGTGACACCAGGTTGTAACATGGTTATTTTGTTGGACGGGTTCTTTTAAATTATTCTAAAATAACTGAAGACCAGTTCATTTAGCGATAACAAATTATTTTATTTCTTCCTTGACGTTCATACTAGCTTGTACACGTGTAACTTCAAGGTCTAAGTTTACCAATGACATTCTAATGTAAATACTTCGCTAACGGTACTAGGACTAACGTAAAATAAACTTGTACAATTTCACTGTTAATCGATCGAATAACAATATATGCGTTCATTAACAATGATTCTAGTACTTCATTGAATTAAATTTTCTGTCTCAATATTCACTATTCAACCCTCCTGAACTGTATGCGTACTTATCTGTAACCTAGTTTCTTATCACTCTGCAAAGTCTCTGATCATCAGTATTCCTGAATATTATAGGTTCTCTAGGGCTTTCTTTATCTTAATGTCACTGGTCTACAAGCTAACACTTAAATTACGACATTAAAGTATAATTTATAGAAATATTTCTGGTCTGAAATGTTGTAGGTCTGATGTAAACTTCGAATGGTGAGATATAAGAGTGACAACCAATCCCTTAGCATGGATGGTGAGTGGTCAAGTGCTGCTTACTGGCTAACTTCCCTCTGGTAAATAGTTCTAAATTAGTGAAGGTGCTAGACAGCCTTAATAACTTTGCCATAAAAAAAAAAGTTATACTTCAAACCAATCACTTCTCCGGGCTTACCTTTTGTACGTTATATAATGAATTTGGAGTTGGTTAAAACCCAGATTATTGTACTTAAGCTGTTAAAATTTTTCACTACAAACTCTTCAACTTGCATGAAGTGAGTTGTGTATAATCCCCACTATACCCTTATCAGCAATGTTTCATAACTAAATACTATTTAACATAGAAGATGGTAAGTGGAAGTCATTTGACTCGAGCTATCCCCTCTGTGTTTGTTACTTCGACCAAAACTTCATTCAAGATTTTTTTTTTATAGTGAAATAAAAACTATGTTTGAATAAGTTTTCTATTCTGTAAATTAATCTTTAATTATTTTAAAGGGTGGACGAAAATATTTATTTATTTATTTTCAAAATCAGGAACTTTTTAAAGAGGATATATAAGAAGCAAAATAATGGGAATGGTAAACACCTGTGCATAGTTTGATTATATAGCTTAGAAGTATCCTTTAAAAACTTTTTTTTTGTCTTTGCAAGAGACTTGTGTTAGTAAATCGAGCGTTATTCGATTCATTGTTACAAGGAGCTTTCTTGATATTGCATGGGTATTTAAAATGTATGTCAAAGATGAATTCATGAACTATTTAATTTCAGGTATTAAGGAAATGAAATTATATCCTCCTTGGTATAAGACGCTACTATAAAATATTAGTGTGCGCTCTTTATTTTTGTTTAAATATACTGTAGATCATTATTCTTTACTTTGCTATTGAAAAATAACGCCTTACTAGACGATTTACGTAACAAATTTGTGAAATGCACTTGACACTACTAAGATATAAGTTTTGGATGTTTTCATTTTAGTCGTTATTGGCTGTGTTTTCGCATATATGGCAGTTAAAATTGTATTTACTTAAGGAGCTTGTTTATTTCTGATGTGGCAGTAAATACATAGCATCGAAAAATACCGCGTACTGTGACATGCACACCACCGTGAGCACCCGTATAAACATTACAGTACTTTTAAAGAGGAGAAAAGTATAGTTGGAACACCAACAAACGATTAAGACTTACAGCAAATTGAGTTCATATACCAAAGAAATTGTTGGCGTGTTTGAACATTACAAGTTCTATTTTTGAAATTTTTGCTTGTTTTTTATCTGTCCAACGCTTTCAGTGGCAAGATAAACCACTATTTTTCAAGTAGACATTGCATTCACAATTTTTATTTTGCGTATAATATTAAACAACAACAAAAATCCCATCTTTACCTGTAATCGTAACTTAGTTGAAACTTGGTACTCCTGGATATTTGATTATCAATGTATGATTTATATGTATTTGTTTATCTTTCATTTTTCATTGTTTCGGTACCGCTTCAGGTTTTCCAGATTTATTTTTTTAATGTCGTGTTTTACCTGAGCGTGAATCTATGTTCTCTTAACTTATTTTGTGTTGTTGACAAATTATGTTTGCGTATAAACATCCTTGCATATTTTATGTAGAAGTTATGAATTTCTGATTGTCTTTTTTTGTATTCTACTAGGTTTTCTGGGTCTTGCCAAAATGCAATTTTATAATTTCAGATTAATTTTTATTACTAATGGACCCTTTTATTATTATATAATTTTAGGTTTTCTGGGTGCTACTAATGAATGTAGTTTTCTGGACCACTTAGTGCCAGTACAAGTATGAGCCTAAGTATCATTACTTACGAGAAATGTTGGGGGTAAGTTTGAATTAATTATTGTTGCGATGAGAGTTTCTCTTTTTGCAATATGCCATCAGTTTTGTCCTACAAATTGTACGTGTTGTGTATTAGAATTGCAAATGGTCTGAAATTGAGTTAACTGATAGTAGTTAAATTGTACTTTGGATTTAGTAATTAAATATATGCCGATATATCTCCAATTTGTGATATTTGCCAACAAGATTGATAGGTAGCTTTCTTTTTTAATACAAATGTGTTGATATAGAAACAACAATACAGTTCACAATAACAGATATTACAAATAGTTATTGCACACAATGGTTTATAAACAAAAGTTTCACAAATTTACAAGCAATATAAAGTCTTCTTTCTGGTCTGGAACTTCTTCTATATCTTATCGAAGGTTCACGATGAGCAAGTTAGTTACGAGTTGACGTAGGTATAATTCACAGGGAGCTAGCTAGCTTTGTCCTTCGTTATTCACCAGCCATACACGCAGAGTTTTCCACGATGAAGTTATTAATGTTTTTGTAAAAATATTAATGTCCGATGAGAATCCACTGAAGTTAAATGATTTGTAATGTTCGAACTTTGTAAATGCTCCTGGTCAAATATCTGAAGTTTTCCTATTGATAAGCATTATAACAATCACAGTTATATCTTCCGAAGTTTATAGCACACCAACTATAGTAAACCAATAACAGATACTCTTTTTTGGCGTTTCGCGTTGGTTATATTTATAGGCTTGTGAAGGCTTTCTAGAAAATTCAGATTACGTAACAATACAAAGTTACATTTAAGCATTTACGTACATGCATATATTGTTTGATTCTTACTCTCAAGAATCTTCTACAACTTTGGAGAATAGACGGGCGTTT